TTATCTATTACTTTTAGCTTGTGCTTTCATTTTGGAAAATAAATCATAAAGAATTTGGTCAAAATCTTAACAAGGAGTAGAAAGCTTCATTATATCTATCAGCAAATTGTCCTATAGACAGTCCAACTATTATTTAACACACCACATAAACGGTTTAGACTAGATATACCAACATAATATTTAATAAAAGCCAGGGCAATGCACCAGAAAAAAAAAACAACGCTTAAAAAATTTAAACACTCATACTTACGGGCAGACAAAAGAACCAAAAAAATTTATAGAAAAAACAATACTATCTAACAACTAAAAACTTACTCACACTTAAAATGAAAACACACAATAATCCTTTTTTTTCTACAAACACAAATGATAGACTCCTTACGTTAACAAATGATGATTTAAATTTGTGAAAAAGCAAAAAGAAAAAACTTCAGCCACATTATAAACAAACACACAAAAGATAAACTTGACCAATACTCTTACTCACTAAACAATGATAAATTTACTCACAGAAAAAAATTCAAATAAACAACATCGTAATGATGTTTATAAATAATAACATGATGATGATGATGCTTAAATACGCATTGTTGTTGTTTTTCGAAAAAAAATCCTATTTTTTGCATGTTTTGTTTTGGTTTCTAGTAAACAACAACTACAACACCATGTTTAGCCAGCCACATTTTTATAAACACACTCACACATAAACATTTATTTTAACTCCCTAATTTTTTTTCTCTTTTAGTTGTTTGTATGATTTTTCTATTATTGTTTTGGAAAATCCTTGCTCTTGTTTATGCGAGTGGGAGCATAAACCCTTTCTCTGTTATTTAAATTTTCGTTTTATTTTTGGTGGGGTGGTAGGCTATGTGTAAAAGTAATGGTGTGTGTAGATGTGTGTTGCTCGTCGTTTTGTTTTAAGTTTAAACGTTAGGTTTGAGTTCTTTTACTCGTCATCATCACAATAATTTTATTTTAATTTAGGTTTTTTGTTGTTACTCATCGCTAAACATCAGTCAGAATTTGTTCCCTTTTTTAGGTTTCTCTACATTTTATAGCCCAAAAAAAGTGTAGCATACTCCCGCGCGTTAAACCAAATTTTTATGCCCATCATGAAAAGAAAATTTGTGGAGTATATTTATTTTGTCATTTTGTTTGCGACACACAGAAATATTTCTAGTTCTGTTCTAGTTCTCCTCTAGTTTTGTTTTAGTTCTATTCTAGTTCTGTTCTAGTTCTGTTCTAGTTCTGTTCTAGTTCTAGTTCTGTTCTAGTTCTGTTCTAGTTCTGTTCTAGTTCTGTTCTAGTTCTGTTCTAGTTCTGTTCTAGTTCTGTTCTAGTTCTGTTCTAGTTCTGTTCTAGTTCTGTTCTAGTTCTGTTCTAGTTCTGTTCTAGTTCTAGTTCTGTTCTAGTTCTGTTCTAGTTCTAGTTCTGTTCTAGTTCTGTTCTAGTTCTCTTCTAGTTCAGTTCTAGTTCTGTTCTAGTTCTGTTCTAGTTCTATTCTAGTTCTGTTCTAGTTCTGTTCTAGTTCTATTCTAGTTCTGTACTAGTTCTAGTTCAGTTCTAGTTCTGTTGTAGTTCAGTTCTAGTTCTATTCTAGTTCTGTACTAGTTCTAGCTCAGTTCTAGTTCTGTTCTAGTTCTGTACTAGTTCTGTTCTAGTTCTGTTCTAGTTCTGTACTAGTTCTGTTCTAGTTCTGTTCTAGTTCTGTTCTAGTTCTGTTCTAGTTTTGTTCGTGTTTGTTCTAGTTAGTTAGTTAGTTAGTTAGTTAGTTAGTTAGTTAGTTAGTTAGTTAGTTAGTAGTTAGTTAGTTAGTTAGTAGTAGTTAGTTAGTTAGTTAGTTAGTTAGTTAGTTAGTTAGTTAGTTAGTTAGTTAGTTAGTTAGTAGTTAGTTAGTTAGTTAGTTAGTTAGTAGTTAGTTAGTAGTTAGTTAGTTAGTTAGTTAGTTAGTTAGTTAGTTAGTTAGTTAGTTAGTTAGTTAGTTAGTTAGTTAGTTAGTTAGTTAGTTAGTTAGTTAGTAGTTAGTTAGTTAGTTAGTTAGTAGTTAGTTAGTTAGTTAGTTAGTAGTAGTTAGTTAGTTAGTTCGTTAGTTAGTTAGTTAGTTAGTTAGTTCGTTAGTTAGTTAGTAGTTAGTTAGTTAGTTAGTTAGTAGTTAGTTAGTTAGTTAGTTAGTTAGTTAGTTAGTTAGTTAGTTAGTTAGTTAGTTAGTTAGTTAGTTAGTAGTTAGTTAGTTAGTTAGTTAGTTAGTAGTTAGTTAGTTAGTTAGTTAGTTAGTTAGTTAGTTAGTTAGTTAGTTAGTTAGTTAGGTTAGTTAGTAGTTAGTAGTTAGTTAGTTAGTTAGTTAGTTAGTTAGTTAGTTAGTAGTTAGTTAGTTAGTTAGTTAGTAGTTAGTTAGTTAGTTAGTTAGTTAGTTAGTTAGTTAGTTAGTTAGTTAGTTAGTTAGTTAGTTAGTTAGTTAGTTAGTAGTTAGTTAGTTAGTTAGTTAGTTAGTTAGTTAGTTAGTTATAGTTAGTTAGTTAGTTAGTAGTTAGTAGTTAGTTAGTTAGTTAGTTAGGTAGTTAGTTAGTTAGTTAGTTAGTTAGTTAGTTAGTTAGTAGTTAGTTAGTAGTTAGTTAGTTAGTTAGTTAGTTAGTTAGTTAGTAGTAGTTAGTTAGTTAGTTAGTTAGTTAGTTAGTTAGTTAGTTAGTTAGTTAGTTAGTTAGTTAGTTAGTTAGTTAGTTAGTTAGTTAGTTAGTTAGTTAGTTAGTTAGTTAGTTAGTTAGTTAGTTAGTTAGTTAGTTAGTTAGTTAGTAGTTAGTTAGTTAGTTAGTTAGTTAGTTAGTAGTTAGTTAGTTAGTTAGTTAGTTAGTTAGTTAGTTAGTTAGTTAGTTAGTAGTTAGTTAGTTAGTTAGTTAGTTAGTAGTTAGTTAGTTAGTTAGTTAGTTAGTTAGTTAGTTAGTTAGTTAGTTAGTTAGTTAGTAGTTAGTTAGTTAGTTAGTTAGTTAGTTAGTTAGTTAGTTAGTTAGTTAGTTAGTTAGTTAGTTAGTTAGTTAGTTAGTTAGTTAGTTAGTTAGTTAGTTAGTTAGTTAGTTAGTTAGTTAGTTAGTTAGTTAGTAGTTAGTTAGTTAGTTAGTTAGTTAGTTAGTTAGTTAGTTAGTTAGTTAGTTAGTTAGTTAGTTAGTTAGTTAGTTAGTTAGTTAGTTAGTTAGTTAGTTAGTTAGTTAGTTAGTAGTTAGTTAGTTAGTTAGTTAGTTAGTTAGTTAGTTAGTTAGTTCGTAGTTAGTAGTTAGTTAGTTAGTTAGTTAGTTAGTTAGTTAGTTAGTTAGTTAGTTAGTTAGTTAGTTAGTTAGTTAGTAGTAGTTAGTTAGTTAGTTCGTAGTTAGTTAGTTAGTTAAAGTGTTAGCCATTTCTTGTAAGGTAAGATTCGCCCATTGCACTGTTACTTGTTTCAAATTTTATTGTCTGTCTTGGCCTTTTTCTTCTTGTTGTTGCTGTTGTTAGTGTAATGAATGTTTTACCATCCCGGTTAAACTCACCTTCCTTTCTGATTTGTTTTTTAAATTTTCTCATTTTTAAGAATTTTTTATTGTTTATTTTTTAAGTCCGAAACGCCGACACCGGTGTTTTTATACGAAGCCTTATACCCTTTACAGTTCTGCTTCCCCTCCCTCTACTCATTAAACTCATACTTGTTTTAGCTCTTTGTTTTTTCAAAACCGTTATTTTGTTGTTGCAACAACAGTTTACGCGCGCTCTCATACTCTGTGTGGGTTTTTTTCATAAAAAATCATTTTAAAACAACAACATTCAAGTATTCAAAAACCGTTACTACTACGAGTATCAGAATGTAGAGTAAATTGTTTGCCTACAACCCTCTCCACCCCTTTCTCTATTTCTGTCCTTAAACAGTTGTTTCTACTACATCCTACTACGTCACTACAGCTGTTTTTCTTAACTCCCTTTTCAACATACAACCATTAAACCCTCTGTTTTGTTTGGTATTTTTTGTTCTCAAAAAAAATCCTCTAACAAAAAGTGTATGTCACTTTGACATTTTGCCGCTTATCATCATTTCTCTGTTTTTATCCTTACATACTACTTACTACTCTCACGGCCTACTCTCCTGCTCTTTGAAATTCTCACAATTTTATTTAAGTTTTTTTTTTGTGTTTTGTCGTGATATTATTTTGTATTTTTTTGTGTGAAATTTCCAATTTATAACCATTCTTCTTTAGACTTCTTCATCATGCTGTTTTATCACATGTTGTGTTTTGTGTTGTTGATAATAAAATTTCGGCGTCCCACATTTGCAATTATCATCATCACCTCAATTTGGCGCCCACGCTAAAGCGCAGGCGCTAGTTGGACTCGCATGAAAAAGAAAACTAGAAATGAAAATAAAAACAGCAAGTGTCATCTCTCTCTCTTCTTTGAATAACTGTTTTTTTTTTGTTTTTGTACAAATATTCTTGTGTTTTTTTTTTTCATTCTTGTTATTGCTTTTACTTCATTTACAATTGGTGTTGTTGTTGTTGTTGCTGCTACTGTTGTTATTGTTGTAAATGAAACACTACAATTCAAAATCTATTCGCATGTTTCTGTTTTGATCAGTTCGCTAAGTATAGTCGTGGTGATAAGTTGTCCTTTTATTTAAAAACGTCAGTAAACCCATAACAAAAAGGATATAAATGCCAAACAAATAAAATTTGAAAAAAAAAAGAAAATTTTGAAAATTTCTTAAATAAATAAAAAAATACAAATTAAGAAATAAATCTAAACCAATAAAAGGAATATTAAAAAAAGGATTAAAAAAGCCAACTTAAGAAAACAAAACCTTATTAATAATTTCCCAAAAAAAAAATTAAGAATTTTGTGAAAAATATTATTTAAAAAAAACCGTTATTTATAAACAAGTTTTAAAATTTCCAAAAAAAAATTTACCAAAAAGTTTTTTTACTAAAATATTACTACAACTTTTATTATTATAAAATTTTAAGTTTTTTTTTGTGACAAAAACCAAAATCTCAAACGAAAAGTATAAATTTATCTTCTTAAACGTTTTTAAAAAAATTATTCAAAATTCCGAAAAATCCGAGAAAAACCCCCAAAACATCGACACGTACAGCGTCGTCAACTGGTGGAGGCGGTGGTGGCAGCAGTAAAATGGCTTCAAAAAGAAAAGCTTCGGTGCTTTTGCATAAGGTAGGATCTAATTGTCGAAAAAAAATAATAATAAAATTTTAGCAATTTTGAGGAACTTTCGAAACAATGGATTAATGTTATAAAAAGCTTAAGCTTTCAAAAGGATCTACCTCCAAAAAGCTTGTTTTAAGGAAATATGGTCACATTAGAAATATTTTTTTAACTGTAATGAACAGCATTGGATGTTCTTAGCATGGAATTAAAACAGCTTTAGTTTTTAGGATATTACAGCTTTAAAAAAGCTTTTCAAAGTTCAGGTTAGAACTTAGTTCATAAATGTTTGCTGTAATGATCTGGCAAAATTTCAGGAGCTCATAATAGAGACTATTGATGACGGGAACTAGAGAACATTCGCTATATGTTCCTTGTAATAGTTTGGCCATATTTCAGCAACTCATTTGGTACCTGAAAGTAGAGAGCTTTACCTCAACAGCATGGATATTTGGCTTCACTTACAATCTTTTACATTTCGGATTACTTTAAGGAATCCATTTCTCATCACGACTAGGTGTCAAAATGATTAGAATTTCGGACATGCAAAGTTTTCTTTCAAGGTTTCGTGGCTCATAATAGATAGAAACCTTTGTTTCCAGGAACTACAGAACTTTACCTCAGCGCCATGGATATTTGGCGTTGGTCTCGATTCATCTGGTTAGTAGGCCTTTTACACTTCGAATGACTGTAATGAATACATCTTTCATCACGACTGGGTGTCAAAATGATTAGCATTTCGGACATGCAAAGTTATCTTTCAAGGTCTTGTGGCTTCAATTAGTATAGCACCCAATTTCTCTACTTTAGAATGAATTGTTATATTCTTACAATGATTTCATCAACTTTTCTTAAGCCTCACTAAAATCTTCATGATGTAACGGCTGTAATTTTTCAATTTCAAACTTTTTGGCCCGACCTGAGTCATCTTTGATAACCGTGTTCAAATCACCGCTTCAGAGCCGTACAAACCCACTCTTGTACTTTGAAGCTCCTCAAAACACAATCGCCCTAAGCTTCGGTAAGCAATCGTATACGACATCTATTGTAAAGGCTGCAGTTTGAATCTATATACACCCAGTATTATTAATAAATTTTACTTAAAATTTCACTTTTGAAGCAGGATGTTATAATCCGTCCTTCCGTTTGTTCGCCTATTTTCTATCAGTCCATAAAACTATATCTTATGATTATAATCATAACAGAACTAAATTTGGCAAGAGACATTAAATTGATCATAGATCATATGTTATTGAGAAGAAGAGGGTTTCAAGTTTTCACTAAAGCAAGTTTTTAAAATTTTTATACAAGTTTTAAACTAAGAATTTGTCCCGTACAAAAAAAAAAAAAAAAAAACAAATTAACAATGAAAAATTTGTTTCCTGGAATTAAATTAAAAGACTATAGGCTATTTAAATCCAAAATTTTATTTTAATTGTTCAATTAGTTTTAAAGATATAAACGATTAAAAATTGTTTTTAATTTAGCTAAGTTTAACCTAAAGAATATCAGCAACAAATTTTTTTAAAATATTTAATTTTGTCTTAATTTTTTTTCAATAATTTTAATTTAAAAAATTTTTTACAAATTTGTTTGCTATTTTTAATGATTTAACTATAATAACAGCCAGCAGGACGTATGCTTAACTTTAAATAGCCTCTATAACCCCCCTAGACGTATGATTATTAAAATTGACTCCTTAAAGTAGGCACTGAATTATTTATTAAACTTTTGGCTTACACTACAGCACAACGTATGATTAACGTCATTAGTTTTAAAAAGTAGGCAACATTTTTTTGAGTTATAAGTAAAAAAAAGCTCTCTATTAAAGGTGCAACAAGACGTATGAGTAATATGTAAAGGAAATATTTTAATAAAAGAAACTTGTTAGAACTTAATGATTAGAGTTTAGTTTCTTTTAATTTTAAAGGAGATGAGGTAACTATTTTAGTTGGACCATTAATTTGTATAATTTCAATTTGGAATTATATTCTAAATCTATTAATAAACGTCCGTCTGTCCGTAATCTATTCATGTAATAACTTTGAAAATACTTAATTGATTTTTGTTGAAATTGATCCATTATTTCTTGAAGCTTACATATTCATCCGAAATTCAATATAATTATTCGTAAACCGGATATCGTCCATATATAACTTCCGCCTTTACAAATCTTTTATTAATTGTTAGGAACGACACTATTCCTCAGTCCGTCTTTCCTTTCGGTAAATGTTGCTGCCTAATGAGAAAGACAAACTTAACCATCTGTTAACCAACTATGTTGCTTTAGAATCGTTTAAGTTCTTGACGATTAAGAAAAAGGTACAATTTATTAATACAAAGCTTTTTACATTTGACAAATGTTCATCCAGTTTATATTTGAAGCTTGAATTTTCTATTTCTATGAAATTACAAATGATTTTTATCAATTCTATGTTAGTAATAACTTTTTGAATGATTAACCACTTATATCATTAATATCATAACTATCAATCAATAGTAAAACCTAGGAAAAGAAAAAAAACTAGATAAAAATCATTCCCCCTCGCAAGAAAAAAAGTTAACAACCCCCTAGACTACAGGCACGTTCTAGCAAGTCTACACATGTCAAAGTCTATTTACTTCTTCTTTACCCCCTCTCCACAACTTTACCTTTTAACAAGGACGAAAAAAGTAACAATTTCTCATTTCTTTTCATTGAATTTTTGGCAAAAAATTACTTATGCCTGCCTTATATAAAAACAAAATCATGAAAATGAAATCGAAGAAAAAATACAAAATGAAATTAATCATGCTTTTTGCCAAATATACGTATGTATGTATGTAAAAATAAAACCCAAGAAAAATAAGTATAATAAAGCATATAAACAGGAGCTGCAAGGGGTCACTTGTAGCCAATACCACCATCCCTGTGTTTAATGGTTAGAAAGTAAAATAGAAGTAAAAAAGAAACTTTCTATGTATGATGCAAACATGCAAAAGAAGACAACAAACTCTTGAAGAGAAGAAAACAAACATTAGCACAAAGATGTGGCTGCAATCCAGGGGTATTAAGATACTTTTTAAGACAAACATTAATGATGAAGTTTTAGGAGTGTAAAGTAAGGAAAATAAAGAACAAACAGAACTAAAAGGTGATAACAAACTTGGGGGAATACTTTAGGGAAGGAGGGTTCTTTAGAGGATTAGAAAACTTCTAGAGAATAGCTAAGGCTTTCTTAACCAAGGGTTTCTTAAAGAGCGCTAGATTGTTAATAGAATAGAAAAAAGGCTCTCTTAAAGAGCGATCGAATATCTTAGGCTCTCTTAAAGAGGAATAGATTTTTTATAGAAAGTCTAAAACTCTCTTTAAAAACGATAGTTTTTCTATAGAGAAACTCTAAGGCTCTTTTAAAGGACGTTGGTTTTTGTAGTATGGTATGCTCTCTTAAAGAGCATTAGAGTTTCTATAGAAATGCAAAGGATCTCTTAAAGAGCGATATATTTTCTATACAAAATCAAAAGCTATCTTAAAGCTCGATATATTTTCTATACAAATGCAAGGGCTCTCTTAAAATGCAATAAAATTTCTATTCTAATTCTAAGGCTCTTTAAAAGAACGATAGTTTTTGTAGAGAAAATCTCAAGCTCTCTTAAAGAGAGATAGATTTTCTATAGAATATGTAAGGCTGTCTTAAAACACGATAGTTTCTTAAAGAAAATCGAAGGCTCTCTTAAAGGACGATAATGTTTTTTTTAGAGAAAATCTCAAGCTCTCTTAAAGAATGATCGTTTTTCAATAGAAAATGTAAGGCTTTCTTAAATAGTTATATATTTTCAATAGAAAATCTGGGATTCTTTTAAAGAGCTATAGATTTCCTTTAGAAAATTTAAGGCTTTCTTTTAAAACGATCGTATTTCTATAGAGAAGCTAAGGCTCCCATAGAGAGCTATACTTTTCTATAGAAATCTAAGACTTCCCTCAAGAGCGAGAGTTCTTTTAAAGAAAATCTAAGGCTTTCTTAAAGAGAGATCGTATTTCTATAAAGAAAAGTTAGGCTCGCTTAAAGAGCGACACTTTTCTATGTAAATCTAAGACTTCTTTCAAGAGCGAGAATTCTTTTAAAGAAAATCAACGACTCTCTTAAATAGCGATCGCATTTCCATAGAAAAGCTAAGGCTCTCTTAAACAACGTTGCATATTTTAAAAACCTAAGGGTCTCTGTTTTAGAGAAAATCTTATGCTCTTTTAAAGAGCACTAGTTTTTCTATAGAAAAGCTATGGATCTCTAAAAAGAGAGAGATTTTCTATACAAAATCTGAAGCTCTCTTAAAATGGAATTACTACATAAAATTTAAGTCTCTCAATGAACGATAGATTTTCTATAAAAAGAATCTAAGGCTATCTCAGAGAGCGTTGCATTTACTTAAGAAATCTAAAACTTACTTAAAATCTGAAGCTCTCTTAAAGTGCGATTGTATTTCTACAGAAAATTTAAAGCTCTCTTAAGGAAATATAGATATTTTATAGAAGGCCCTCTTAAAGATTAATATATTTTTTATAATAAATTAATTTCCTGGAGAATGTAATAGTTAGGAGAACCTGAAGTTGTCTTTAGAAAGTCAGTCACTCGCTAAGAGAGCCATTAGTTCATGCTCTTTCAGAGAAATTTTCTAAAGATCTCTATTTTAAAGGGATAACGATATGCTTTAGAAAATTGTAAGCTCTCTTGGAGAGGTTTCGTGACTTTTTAAAGAGAGCCTTAGGATTTAAGAAAGCCTTAGATTTTCTGCAAAATTGTGTGATCCTTAATTTAATTCCCTTTTCAAGGCTTTATTTTCTTAACTGTAAAGACTTTCATTGAAATTAAAAGAAAATACTTGTTTTGTGTTTAGAAGTCTACCCAACCCAACTTGCCAAGAAATGTATTCCTTTTATTTTATTACTTTTACCCTACGATCCTAAACCCTCCAAAAAAAATGTTCGCATTAGAAAGAAAACGAAAAGTGAGGAAAAAAAGTAAACTCCT